ACTAAGTGTTTTTCTATTTATCATCATTCTTCTTGTATAGAAAGAGTGGTCTGTAAACCATAAGCACAGACAGGACTCCATCACAGCCATTCAATATTTTGAGTTTAGCTTAATTGATATGAAACCCTTGCTTTACTGGGACAGTGGATGCTGGTCAGCTGGGGCTTTGAAATCAGCCATGATTAAGAAGCATCCAGCATCATTGATGTGAAGTGTTCTGGGAAGTGTTTCCTTAGGGCTGACACACAGAAGCTGTGGCCCAGAAGCAAGGCTGTACCTAGCGCTGGTAGCCAAAGTTAGTGATGTGTAATAGTTTTCCAGGTGGTACTGGTTTTGAAGTCATGAAGGGGCTGTGGGGAGTCACTGAGGCTTGGCACTGTGAGAGTTCAGGAGAAGGTATTAATAAAGGTACAGGCTTAGTTGCAGTAGAAGCCTCAGGATTGACTGGGCCATGGAAAGAAGTGGAGGCTTGGTATGATGTGGCAAAGTCAGAGTCACCCAAGAGAGGCCAGAGCATGATACTGGTGAAGGTGCAGTTCAGTTGCAGTAGAAACTCCAGCATTTTGAAGATGCAAAGATCACAAGATGACCACCAAGGGTAGAAGCAGGAGTCGGGTGGAACCTGCCTGAGCCTAGGAGACAAGCTGCATGTGCTTCTGTCTTAGGATTTCTATTTGCTGGGATGAAACACCATGACCAAACAGCAAGTTGAAGAGGAAAGGGTTTATTTGGCTTACACTTCCACATCACTGTTCATTATCAAGGGAAATTAGGGTAGGAACTTAAGCAGGGCAGAACCTGGAGGCAGGAGGTGATGCAGAGACCATGGAGGGAAACTCCTTACTGGCTTGCTTCCCATGGCTAGCTCAGCCTGATTTCTTATAGAACTCAGGACCATCAGCCCAGGGATGGAACCACCCACAGTGGGCTGGTTCCTCCCCCATCAATCACTAATTAAGAAAATGCCTTACAGATGGATCTCATGGAGGCATTTCCTGAACTGAGTCTGCTTCCCTCTGATGACTCTAGCTTGTGTCAAATTGACATAAAAATCAGCTAATACAGATCCAGATGGCAGGTCCAGTGAAGAGCTGCTGCCCAAGCCACTTGGAACTCAGAGGATGATGAATGGGTTCCAGGCATCAAGCACTGAGCTTATAACACTGTTGAGTCTTAGCTTTACTATGATCTGATTGTGACTGTGATTCTTCCTGCTTTGGGTAAGAACTACATACTTTGGATTTTTGGAGATCCCACAGTCAAGAGACTCTGGAATTTTAGAGAGACTTTGGCTATTTTAGAGAAATGTTATACTTCAAAAGAAACTTTGGGGATAATTTGGGAGGAATTATGGGAAGGGAAAGACATAATTAGAATATATTATATGGGAAAAATCCATTTTCAATTAAAAATGATGAGAAGAAAGAATACTTTGAATTTTTTAAGAAACTAAACTTTTAAAAATGTTTGAAATTTTAAAGACTGTGGGACTTTCAAAACTTAAAATATTTTATAGTATGATATTAATATTAATATAAAATCTCCAAGATAAACTGCCGCAGACCACCCAGAGGGAGACCACCACTGCGGGAGAACCAGGGAGAAGGCTCGAGGAGAAGTCAGGAATCGGCGAGGAAATGACAGACAGACACACAATGTGTTGATGTGCTGCTGCAGATTTACTTCTGCAAAATCAGTGCTTATATTCTTTTACAATCAAGGAACTTG